GAGATTAATTAAAATGATCTCAATATAAAACTTTACTAAAAGGCTTTTTAAAAGCCTCTTAAAACAACCTAAAAATCTGAATACTTTTGGCAGAAAAATTAGCAGCTATGAACAAAATTAGCATTACATAATATTTTAACAAGAACTGCATTATGATAATGTGGTTTACGTATATTAGAATGATTTGCAACAAGCTTATTTATATCAGACATAAAATCTCTTTACTAAAACAATTTTTTAATGTAGTTTAGCACTTCTGGGAGATTGTTCCCAATCAATGACAGTAACACAATTTAAAAGATGATAGATAGCCAACCTTTTCATTAGAGACCTATCCAGGTAAGTCTCGCCAAATAGTTATGAAATTATATTCAATAATAAGCATTCATAAGAACCCAAGATAAAAACACTCTGGTCTCCTGATCTATCAGTATATATGCTTGGCATCAGAAATCATACTATTAGCAACATACTAAATTTTGGAGGAAAAAAAGCTTACTTCAGAAGAAGTGTCAATCTACATTTTCTTATGCTTCCCCTGACACAGTTTCCATCACTCTTCATTTTAACAGTGTTTTCTCCTTGGTTGGTGGTATATTACCGCTTCTTAAAGACCAATCATAGTCCAAGGTCATCAACTCCTCTGCAGCTGAAGGGAGCTACAAACAGCAAAAGACCAATGCATTTCAACAGAAAAACATCTATCCTACTTAGCAAGGCATAAGCCCCATCCCTAAAACATTTTTAACCCAAGCTTGCTTCACAATTAGTCTTACAAGTCCAACAGTATTACACTCTCATTGTCTATTTTTGGTTTTGACAGAAGTTCAAACCTTAAAGTATATATGAAAATTTCCAAGTTACATACTCTGGAAACATAATTGAGTTTCTGTATTCGAATGAAATCTCTTCAATTTTGTGTATTTGGGTAATAAAATCTCACACCTAGTCACTGATACAAAGAGTGTAGGAGAACAAGGAGAGGAATTTCTGATTACACTGTACCCAAGCCTCCGGGAGCCATGACAGGGGAATTACCCATGCAAACAGACAAATGTCTTCTGAATTCAACTAATAACTTCACACGGTTGTAGGTAAGTGATTTAAGGCAGCCTCTATGATGTCACTGCTCTGAGAGTAGCTCAACTCTGCCCTGTCAGAAAGAGACCCCTGCCCTGCCCACAGAGCACAAGGCTGCTAAGCAGCACCGGCTCCCCACTGTCTGGGAGCTACACTTCCTAACCCAGAGCCTCTCACCCTTAATTTCCACTCAACTACCAGGGGGAAGACTATATTTAGGTCAGTGAGGATATGACCAAAAATAAGTAAATAAATAAATAGGGAGAAAAATAGGAAATAAACTGAACTCCAATGGAGTAAAACTTCCTACAGATCGAAAGTCAAAACCAAGTACGATACGTCTCTATTTTTGGTTTCATTCAAAAGAGTCTCCTTCATTCTTGACAAACTAGCTATGTGGTGTGATAAGATCTACTTTTCATTTACACTGTATTTATCTACTAAAAATCATTCCTTAATAAGGACTTTAATATTAAAATTTCTAAATGTTTATAATAAATATGGTATTAAAATACTTTAATATTTACAATTGGGAAAAATGCATACTGTGGTTGGTCATCTCAGGACTACCTCTTCAATTTCATCTTCTACAGATTCTACTACTTTTACTGCTGGTTTACTGTTTGCATGTTTTAATCGATGTCTATTTGGATGAAAACTTCTTCCCTCGCTGAGGAAAAAGTCATCATTTTCATCACGTTCTCTATCCCTGCTGCTTTTATCCCCAGGGAGAAAACTGAGAGAGTCAAAGTCTCCTTTGCTGGCAGCCAGAGAATTTGGGTCACTGCTTTTTGAGGAAATGGTGCTGCTGCCACTGGCACCAAATAACTGTTCCATCAGATTAGCTTTTTTCTCTTTTCTTGTAATTAAATCTATACTGTCTTTACCAAGTTTCTCTATCGTGTTTCTTTGGAGATCCAAAAGGCCACTCTTTTGGCTAAATGGATTTGATGTTTTTACAAATGTTTTTTTTGCAAATGAAGGCACATAGCTGCCAAATGTAAGCTCATTTGGAGAGGCTAGGCTTCTAATATTTCCTGGATTCTGACCATCCCCTTTTGTAGCAAAGAGGCTGATGTCTTCCAAATGATGGCCATTAAACATGCTCTCCGAGGATTCAGGGAACATGTATGTTTTGGGGCTTCTCTCTGGGGAGTGCAGTTTTGATTCCAAATCAGGAAGAAATGGCAGAGGAGGGCATTTTAGATTCCGAGAATCTTCAAGTTCTCTGTTGATTTCATTCAGTTTAGCAAGTAGCATTTCTCTCTTCAACCTTTCTTCTTCCTCGTCTTCCAATTTATCAATATTTTGAATTCGGTACATTTCCATTTGGTATCTTCCAGTTTCCAATGCAGGCTTTTCTTCTCTCTCCAGCAAAGGTATCTTGTCTTTTTGCTTTTTAGCAAATTCTTCTCTTTCCCACTCTGTATGAAATCAAATTAAAAAAAATTGGATTACACAGCAGTCAATATTTTTAAGTAGGAAAACTCAGTTCTCATCTTTTACAAAAGTTATCAGCATAGTAAGGATGAACACTGTAAATTTCATTGCTACACATAATATTATGGAATTCAAAAAGAATATACTTAATGTGTACTGCACTTAAAATTCATGTTTATGGAAAGAATTTCGTTTTTCAGTTTAGAGGTAAGGAAGAAGGTTCTCTACTTTTTATACCTAATATAGTGCTATACACTGAGTGGAGAGTGATGGATGGATGGAGTGAGTTTATTTTAAAATTAAAAATAAACTGAAACTCTAGATGTTGTACCCTGAGAAGGACACAACATCATGTATATAGTATTCTGACTAAAGATACATTAAACTGAATCTAATTAAAACTTCACAGATAAACCTCAAATGAGGAATTCTTTTTCTGTAAATGGGTCTTTATTCATCATAAATGTTAATCTCACAAAATCTTTAGAGAAAGATGAAGAGATAGGAGGACGAAATGCAATTCATAATCCTATCATGGAGTAGAAAATGCTATTAAGGACAATACTGTGTCAACTGACAAAACTGTAATATGGACGGCAGATTAGAGAAATGTGTTGTATCAAAGTTAAATTTTCTAAAATTGAAAACTATACTGGAATGATGTAAGAAAATGTCTTTACTTTGGGATAATATACAGGGAAGTATTTTAAGGTATGGGCATGAGGTATACAACTTTTAGAAGCTTTAGTGCATGACATACATTCTCACTGGTTAGAGACCATTCCAAACTCCAGAAAAAAAAAAAAAAACAATAAAGATGAAAAGAAAGTATCAGTCTTCTGTTACTTTATCCTTTTTTTCAGTACCTAGACACAGCCGACCTACTACCTAATTTTCTATTCTAGACTTTAACATGTGAAAGGAAATCCCCCTTTGTGGATTAGCCAACAGTAATGTATCTTCTAATTTTCCTGTTACATTGTTCCAAATACACATACACACATATATATACACACACTAAATGAAGCAACAATTAGGTCATAATTTTATATTCCATTAACTTTAAGGGGAAAAAAGGGTTTCTCTGTAAGACTAACAAAATTTATGCAGAGGCTTAGCGTCAGGGATCGGATCCCTCTCAGCTATACATTTAAGATGTTTTATCCAGATGGAAATGAACTTATTCCTGAACTTCATTTTCAATATCTGAAACTATGTGAGTTGGTTTCCTAACCTTCCATACCAATGGTTGAACACATTAAAGATTTATTTTACAAACTAAAACCAAAGAAAATTTACAGGAATATATTCAGGATCTCACAACTCATTGATTTTAATGTTTGGGCTAGTCTTAAGGTCAAGCCAATAAAGTGCATTGTCTTTGGTTATCTCTTCATCTAGTTTTAGTTAATTTATACACAAAAATTTCCCCTTTCATTTGAATTCTACTTCATCTAAATTTTCTGAAGGTACTGTCCTTATTCCCTAACCCCAAATAGCAACTTAACATTTTTTTCCTTCCTTAGTAACTTTATTGAAATGTTTGTGATTCCTAAAAGACCACCCCCTAGCCCTGTATTAACCTCTTCTTATTCTGTACAACCAATTCTCTGTGCAGCTGGAAAACATTAGAATATTAGGGGATGCTAACCCTTTCTTTCCCAAAAGATGCTCATTCATCTCTTAACTGAACAAATTCTTTTCTTACCATCCTCTAGTTTCTCAACCTCCTGTTTTATAACATGGAGTTCTTGATCTTTCACAAATTTTTCTTCTCTTTTCACAACTGGGTGTAGCATCCCTGCTTCTTCATGCTCACCTCTCTCTTGCAATTCCAGGTCCTATTACATTTTTTTAAAAATGCAAGTTCACAGGTTGAAAGGCAGAAAAAGCCATTTAAATATCATAGATTTATCTACCATTAAGTATGATATCAACTAAGTTAGAAACTTAAGCAAATTTTAATTTAAAATGAAGCAGTAAATCACAAGTTACCACCCTTTGAAAGATGCTTCAAAGGCACACAAGATTATTTTTTAGTTAAAACTTTTCTAAAAAGTAGATATATCAGAACAAATATAACAGAATTGAAGCCAATACTCTACAAACAATTCTGAAGAGATATGTTTGAGAAGTATCCTTGCTTTGTGCATTTCACAACAAAATCTGATTAATTCAGTTAACCAGAAAAGGCTACTAACCACTGATGGAAGCCATGTGAGAAGGTGCTAAGCTATAATATAGGCAGTAGCAACTGCACTGAATCTTACAAGTTTACACTATATCCAAAGCCTCCAATACGTTTTATAATAAATAAATATTTAAATTTAAATAAATAAAATGTAAACCCATAATTACTTGTTCCTTATGGTCCCTTTCATATGTGTGTATAGTTTTTCTGAATAAAAGTAAAATACCTATTACTCAGTATAGCAGAGCATTGTCCCTAGTATCAGTTTCCTCTTCTTCCTTTCAGTTACAGAATCCCTGCAGTTTTAGCAGCCTCAGGGCTGCTCACCCAGAGACCACATTTGCTAACATCCCTTGGAGCTAAACAAGACCAAAGGGAGGTGAGTGAAAGTACAGATGCAACTTCCGATCTCATTTATGAAAACAAAAACTGCTCGCCCTCCACTTTGTTCCTCCTCCTCACAAGGGTGGTGAGCCAGTTCCAACCATACAAAAGAGGACTAGACTCTTTAAGATGCAAGAACAGTAAGACAAAGGATGATACCAAGGAATAAGCCTACTGGCCAATCCTGGACTGTGCACTGACCTTCAATCTATTAGAAAAGAAAGAAAATCTGTATCTTGGCTTGAGCCACTGTATTCGGGGTCTTTTTCCAACAGGAACTTATTGGTCGGTATTTAACATTCCCATTTGCTAAGACCCTTTAAAGTGGCAGGATCAGTCTTAAGAGCTTTATAAACTTTGTGATTAGTTATTACCACAATCCTGATGGGTAGCCCATCCACATTTTATACAATAGGAAACAGAAGCTCAAGGAAGTCATAACTAAAATGTGAGAACAAGAATTTAATTAAAAAACAGTGCTAAGACCAAGGCTGTACTCTTCACTCGATTAGGTTGCTGCTCCTCATGCTGAATCTTATACAGACCATTTTTAATCCTTTTAAAGTTAAGAATGAATTTCTATTCCACACTTTACCCTTTTCAAAAAGAAAACATGATCCAGTTTCAATGACAGTGAAAATATACAAAGAAAGGCATTTAGCGCACACAGCCAAAGAACCAAATCAGACCATTCTGTCTGTTTCATACCACAGGGAAAGAGCTCCACGTCACTGGAAAATTTACAGGGCACAAGAACACAGGAATGTATGAAATATGAATGAACCCTGGTATATTATTTTCTTTGGGATTTAAATTGTAAACAGAAAATACAGAACTCTCTTAGAGAAAAAAGAACTTTCTGGTATTCAGTATGTAAGTCCTTTTCAATGAAGGTCCAATATAGACTCCCCTGAATTTCACTCTAATTTAAATGGTCAGTTATATAAAGTCAAATTCCACTGCAATTATTTTGCTCAACATTTAATTAATCTATAAAATTCTCATATAATAGGAGACCAAAAAAATATGTAGACTAATTGTAAAAAATCACTTGAAAACTACTATAATTTGCTATTAAATATAAGAGCAAGGAGGAATTTGAGATTCTCTGGGTACATAAAAGGTGAGAAACTGTTATCTCCAATCCAGAAGGTACAACTAACCTTCCTGAAGCATAGGAAAGCTGCAATGAAAACAAAGAGTTGATCCAAAGGAATTTCATAAAATACATAGGTGTTACCTGTCTTTAAAAGACTACTTGCAAATATCACAGATATGGCACTAGCTTCATTGCTAACTTTTAAAACACTTGATAGTGTGTTTTTGGGAAAAACTTCAGACCTAGAGTTTAGTACCTAATCATGTTGCTAAACTCACCAAAGTAAGACGTTCAGGTTCTTCCCATTTGTTTTCATAACACATAACTGTTTGTGGTGTTATAGGAAATTCTTCCAGCTCGAAGTCGTCACTGGTTTGTACTCCTTTTGTACACTGGTCTATAAAATCACTTTGGCATGCAGCTACCATGAAAATTACAAAAGAATTTTTCTAATCATATTGAACAGTGCTAAGACATATGGAATTTAACTGGTATATGTTCACCATCTACATGAGATAATGCATGTTTTGCTCAGCTCTGTGCCTATCTACTATTACTGTTTTTGCTTCTAGGATTAACTGGCAATGATGTAACTTAAGGACAATTTAGACAGGTAAACCCTATTAAGCTTTTACAAAGTTTGTTTTTAACTTTCTGCAATTCAAAAGAGGAAAATTTATACTTTTGTTTAAAAAAAAGTAAAAAAATGCATAATGCTGAAGTATTATGTGTGAAATTAAATGACTGCTAGGATTTACTTTAAAATACTCTAGAAGTAGAAAAAAATAGATGAAATAAAGTTAGCAAAATATGTAACTATTAAAGCTATGTGATGCATAATAAAGGTTCACCATAATATAATCAATCTCCAGGTAGGAATATTCTTACATATTTTCATAAAAGTTTCAAAAGTAATTTAAAATTTTTTTATTATAATTTATGTAAAACATAATTTAACAACCTCAGGAAAAACTGAGAAAGTTGACAAGATTTCTGAAAATTAGCTACAAGGAAATTTAAGTTTACTTCGAAGAAGTTCTTTCCCCTTTGCCGGCCTTCTACTTCAGAATTATTTGATTTTATTATTAATAAGTGACAGCTACAATATGATTTTTCAACTATAATAGCCACTATACCATTTTTTCTTGATATAAATTCTTTTTCTTTCTTTGGAGAAGACTTTGGCAGACGATTAGAATATATATTTTTTATATCCAGCTCTCTCTCCTTTTCCTGAAAAGAAACCCATAATACAATTAAGGATGTAGAGTATCAATTTAAAATAAAACAAAAATTCTCACCTTGTCAACTGCTATTTTCCTTACCAAACTAGAATATATTATACCTAGTTCAATTTCCCTTCTTACCTACCAAACTATAGAAAGGAATGTCTATAGGACATCTAGGTTAGGGTAGAGCAACGATTCTCTTCAAGAAGTGCAATATGTACCGGCAACCAAAAAACAAAACAAGCATAAATAAGGCAAGAACATTTTCTACCTACTCCTACCTGATGGAGCTAGTACTATCTTTAAAATGTCTTTCAGACTTACCAACAGAGACCAAAATAATTTCGTGGGTTTCAAACCCACTTTCAAACATGGGTTTTGAATTGGTTAAAAATTAGATGCCTTAAAAAAACGTTTTTTAATGGGGCACCTTGGTGGCTCAGTCGGTTATGCGTCTGACTTCGGCTCAGGTCATTATCTCACTGTTCATGAGTTTGAGCCCCTCATGGTGCTCTGTACTTACAGCTCAGACCCTGGAGCCTGATTTGGATTCTGTGTCTCCCTCGCTCTCTGCCCCTCCCCCACTCGCACTCTGAATCTCAAAAATAAACACTAAAAAATTTTTTTTAATTTTTTAATGTTTATGTTTGAGAGAGAGAGAAAGCAAACAAGTTAGGGAGGGGCAGAGAGCGAAGGAGACAGAATCAAAGCAGGCTCCAGGCTCTGAGCTGTCAGCACAGAGCCCAACTGCAGGGCTCGAACCCACGAATCATAAAATCATTACCTAAGCCAAAGTCAGATGAGCCAAATGAGCCACCCAGGCACCCCAAAAACTAGACATTTTTCAAAAACACAGTGTTCTCTATCATTTTGGGACTATGGTTCTGAGAATTTGATTTAAAAAATGAAAACTCTATGTAAGATAATGAATAAAACATTCAACTTTGCACAAAACTTCCACCCATCAATGACCTCTGGATAGGATTAAGAACACCTTTAACAAAATTAAATAGTGTAAATACTTCCTACCAACACTGTGAAAATAAAGGGCATTATTTTAAACAACTTTATTTTTATCTTTATTTTTGAGAGAGAGAGAGAGAGAGTGTGTGTGTGCAAGAGAGGGAGGGCAGAAAGAAGAAGACACAGGATCTGAAGCAGGCTCCAGGCTCTGAGCTGTCAGCACAGAACCCAATGTGGGGCTCAAACTTATGAACCATGAGATCATGACCTGAGCCAAAGACAGATGCTTAACTGACTAAACCACCCAGGCGCCCCTGAAACAACTGTTAAAATAATCATAGGGTTATCTGAGGAAGAACACTGGATTATTCGACCATGCAACAGAGAAAAAATCCAATTCCCATAATTTTCTTCTCGGATTTCATAACATTTCAGTTATATCATTCCTATTAGGACTCAATGTTTCACTTTCAGCATGTGTTATACTGATTATATTACCAAAACTTTCCCTTAAAAGTACCAAAGAGACATCACGCCTCGGTGGCTCAGTCAGCTGGGTGGCCGACTTCGGCTCAGGCCATGATCTCACAGTTTGTGGGTTCGAGCCCCGCATCCGGCTCTGTGCTGACAGCCAGCTCAGAGCCTGGAGCCTGTTTCAGATTCTGTGTCTCCCTCTCTCTCTGGCCCTCCCCTGCTTACGCTGTCTCTCTCTCTCAGAAATAAAAAAAACATTAAAAAAAAATTTTAAGTACCAAAGAGAATATCAGAATTTTGTAAATCACATTGTACCAACTTACAAATATGCTTTAAAATGGTGAGTTTTCAACCAACATATATTATAAATTAAGTAAAGACCTTAAATTTTTTTTTTCCCATTAATCAGTACAGGCGCACAGGCGCCTGTACATGCATGCCTGGGGAAGAGAGAGGGTGAGAGAGACTCTCAAGCAGGGCACAGAGCTTGGAGCCCGAGGTGGGGCTCAATCCCATGAGACATAGTATCATTACCTGAGCTGAAATTAAGAGTTGAGCGTTCGAGGGGTACGTTCAAGGCATCTGGGTGGCTCAGTTGGTTAAGCATCTGACTTCAGCTCCAGTCATGATCTCACGGCTCATGGGTTTGAGCCCAGTCTCTGTGCTGACAGCTCAGAGCCTGGAGCCTGCTTCAGATTCTGTGTCTCCCTCTCTCTCTGTCCCTCCTCAACTTGCACTCTCTCTCCTCTCAAAACTAAACAAACATTAAAAAATTTTTTTTAAAAAAAGAGTTGAATCCTCAATTGACTGAGCCATCCAGGTGCCTGGGTGAAAATTACATTGTACCAATTTACAAATTAAATACAGGTCTTAAACATTTTCTAAAGTTTTTTTTTTATATGGAGGGGGGCATGCACAAGCAGGGCAGGGGCAGAGAGAAGGAAATAGGATCCAAAGCAGGCTCCACACTGACAGCAGAGAGCCCGATGCAGGACCTGAACCCACAAACTGCGAGATCATGACCTGAAGTCAGATGCTTAATCAATTAAGCCACTCAGGTGCTCCACAAAGAGGAGTAAGTGTTTTAAAATGGTGAGGTTTTTTTTTTAAAAATATAATTTATTGTCAAATTGGCTAACACACAGTGTGTAAAGTGTGCTCTTGGATATTGGGGTAAATTCCCTTGGTTCATCGCTTACACTATAACACCCAGTGCTCATCCCAACAAGTGCCCCCTCTTCAATGTCCATTACCCATTTTCCTCTCTCCCCCACATCCCCCATCTACCCTCAGTTTGTTCTCTGTATTTCAGAGTCTCTTGTGGTCTGCCTCCCTCCCTCTCTATTTGTAACTATCTTTTCCCCTTCCCTTCCCCCATGGTCTTCTGGTAAGTTTTTCAAGATCCACAAATGAGTGAAAACATAGATCTGTCTTTCTCTGACTGACTTATTTTACTCAGCATAATACCTTCCAGTTCCATCCATGTTGCTGCAAATGGCATGATTTCATTCTTTCCCATTGCCAAGCAGTATTCCATTGTATATATAAGCCACATCTTCTTTATCAATTCATCAGTTGATAGACATTTAGGCTCTTTACATAATTTGGCTATTGTTGAAAGCACTGCTGGGGTGCCTGTGTGGCTCAGTTGGTTAAGCGTCCAACTTCAGCTCAGGTCATGATCTCACGGTTTGTGGGTTCGAGCCCCACATCGGGCTCTGTGCTGACTGCCAGCTCAGAGCCTGGAGCCTGTTTCAGTCTGTGACTACCTCTCTCTCTGACCCTCCCCTGCTCACGCTGCCTCTCTCTCTCTCTGAAATAAATAAAACATTAAAAAATTAAAAAAATAAAGTGCTGCTATAAACATTGGGGTACATGTGCCCCTGTGAATTAGCATTCCTGTATCCCTTGGATAAATTCCTAGTAGTGCAATTGCTGGGTCATAGGGTAGCTCTACTTTTAATTTTTAGAGGAATCCCACAGTTTTCCAGAGCAAGTGCACCAGTTTGCATTCCCACCAATAGTGAAAGAGGGTTCTTTTTTTCTCCACATCCTCACCAGCATCTGTAGTTTCCTGAGTTGTTCATTTTAGCCACTCTGACTGGTGTGAGGTGTCAGAGTGAGAGGTATCTCAGTGCGGTATTGATTTGTATTTCCCTGATGATGAGTGACATTAAGCATCATTTAATATGTCTGTTTGCCATCTGGATGTCTTCTTTGGAAAAGTGTCTGTTCATGTCTTCTGCCCATTTCTTCACTGGATTACTTGATTTTTGGGTGTGAGTTTGGTAAGTTCTTTATAGATTTTGGATACCAACCCTTTATCTGATATGTCATTTGCAAATATCTTTTCCCATTCATCAGATGCCTTTTAGCTTTGTTGATTGTTTCTTTTGCAGTGCGTTAAGCTTTTTATCTTGATGAGGTTCCTTCCAATAGTTCATTTTTGCTTTTAATTCCCTTGTCTCTGGAGCAGTGTCAAGTAAGAAACTGCTGCAGCTGAGGTCAAATAGGTTGTTGTCTGCTTTCTCCTCTAAGGTTTTGATGGTTTCCTGTCTCACATTTAGGTCTTTTGAGTTTATTCTTATGTATGGTGTAAGAAAGTGGTGCAGTTTCATTCTTCTGCATGTTGCTGTCCAGTTCTCCCAGCACAATTTACTAAAGAGACTGTCTTTTTCCATTGGATACTGTTTCCTGCTTTGTCAAAGATTAGTTGGCCATACATTTGTGAGTCCAATTCTGAGTTCTCTATTCTATTCCATTGGTCTATATGTCTGTTTTTGTGCCAATACCATACTGTCTTGATGACTACAGCTTTGTAGTAGAGGCTAAAGTCTGGGATTGTGATGCCTCCCGCTTTGGTTTTCTTCAATATTACTTTGGCTATTTGGGGTCTTTTGTGGTTCCATACAAATTTTATGATTGTTTGTTCTAGTTTTGAGAAGAA